GACTGGTACAAACAAGATATTGATCTCCTGCATGACCTTAATGCCAATGCGGCCTCTTGGATCAAGCAGTAGGATGCATGGAACCTTAGGGGTGAGTAGCATGAAAGGGGATGCCCTTTTCTCACCCTCATTATCTTTTAAATGTGCTCTTTTATGTTTATATCTGCAATGCACCCAACAATCCTATTCATAAAGCCCAGATCCATATGTATTATGTTTATTTTGTTCCTGGCTGGAGATAACTAAGCTTTGTTAGACATAGACCAAGCTTCACCAGCCAAGTATGGATCCTAATTTCATTTAACTCATAATCCATGTACTAAATGATGGTTATCTAATGATCTGATGTCCAAATATCACTTGGCAAAAATGCATGTTTGGAATGCACCCCCCCCCCCCAAATAAACCATTGTATCAAGCAAGCCTCTGGATACAATAGAACTAGTTCAGATCATTTTTTTTAATAACCGTGACTGCTGATAAGTTACAGCGGAATTCAGACGCCATGCTGTAACATATAATTTCATTTTTTTTGCTACTATACAGTGGCCAATGCACCATGTAATCATCTTTCAAGAAGACTAATTTAACATTATTTGTGTGCAGTAACCTGCAAATACTGAAGATTGTGTATGAGAAGTTTTAAGACAATATAAGTGCGCATGTTCTGATAAATTTTCAGAGTGAAATTTAATTTTGTGTGTGAAAGATAACTTCCGTAGATTGGAGATACATAGGATGGTTGTGAAATCTTACCTCTTTCAAAAGGTATTTCTGATGGGTGTATAATTCGAGTTATGGATGTGACGGCCAACACCATATCTAGGAGGAGTTTACCAGATCCACTGTATTTTCCTGGACACATTCATATAAAATGCCACCGGCGTTATGTAGAATTCTAACGCAGCATGAAGGAAATCTTTTTATCAAGCAGAAATCCCAAAGGAAGTTCTTAATTAGCTAATTGAGTTCCTATCTGAATGCTACATGTTATGGATAGAGAAATACATGTCAGGAAATCAAGCTGGATGTGGCATACCTAGAACGTCCTAAATTTGCCCAGTCCAGGATTTTACAGATAGTAAAATTAGCAACAATGACAGTTTCTGGAGTGGCATACTTTCTCTCAAAGCAAATGTGAGTTACCAGTGAGTTTAAGATTATTGAAACCTCACTGAGCCTAAGCTGCTCCCACTTTAATGTACCAATGTAGGAAAGATTAAATCCTAAAAATGTAGCCATAGCATTGAAGTGGTAACAGATAGGATTTAATTTGATTTCACGTTGAATTCTCAACTTAGTAAATAAAGCAGACGGTGTGAAGTGAGTTATCAAATAGCAATAGTACTTTTATTAAATGTAATATAAAACATGTACCCAGGTAGCTCATTCAGAAATTGTCTCTTGATAATTGTATATCTTCTGTTTCGGACGTAGTTCCATTTCTATTCTCCGGTGAGCTTTAAATTATAAAGGTTGATATGGACAGTGAATTATTGTCATCGAAACAAAAAGGAAATAAAATATTCAATTAACTTTTACATTTGGACTGAGATGGTACCAAAAGCTAGTTATGACCAAACACTATCTTCAACTTAAGAATTTAAGCTATAGGCTTCCCACTCATAAAATCAATATGTCAACATACATTGCAATTGTGTTTTCACTCTACTTAAAGCCCCCTTCCATTCTTCTCTATAGGAAATAACATAAAGTAGCATTAACACATACGCCATTCCAAGGTGTGCTATGTGGATTTTGTGTGGCATCCTTTCACGCTACCCTCTTACTCTATTTAGTGACTATCAGGTAAGTCAACCATAAAAGATATATATAATATTGCTTCACAAGTGGAATTGACTCCGGTCAATACAGTCTTCACAACTAGGCATACAGAAAGTACTTAGTACATTAGTTTGTCAAGAAAATGTATAGAACATTCTAAGTCGATATTCTAAATAGTCTCAGTGGTACTTTGAGCTGGCACTTTGGTTCAGATTTGAGAGATGCTATAATCTAAAGGTCTATCCACTTACAGTAGCAATTTTGGTTGATGTAATATTTCTCTTGTGTTTTCCTATTTCTCTGTTCGTGTCACTAATACCATTGGTAATTTCATAAACCTTCCAATTTCACCAGATAATGGCATATCAGGAACAATTACAGAAGTAAAATATAGAAATATATTTGATCTATGCATGTGAACTAGTGGAAAACTTAGTTAACATAATTTTTTAACAAATATGCCAAGTAGTGATGTCCCGAACGGTTCGCCAAACGGTTCGCCACGAACGGTTCGCCGCGGACTCATCATTGAGTAAACTTTGACTTTGTACCTCACAGTCAGCAGACACATTCCAGCCAATCAGCAGCAGACCCTCCCTCCCAGACCCTCCCACCTCTTGGACAGCATCCATTTTACATTCATTGTGAAGCTGCATTCTTAGTGAGCTGTCCAGGAGGTGGGAGGATCTGGGAGGGAGGGTCTGCTGCTGATTGGCTGGAATGTGTCTGCTGACTGTGAGGTACAGGGTCAAAGTTTACTCAATGATGAGTCCATGGCGAACCGTTCGTGGCGAATCGTTCGTGAACCGTTCGGCGAACCGTTCGGGACATCACTAATGCCAAGCAAAATCAACAGCGCCCCTATTAATTACATTTCCCTGTTAGAAGCCCGACCATAGTGACAAAAAGGCAACCAGAACCAATGTAAATTGAACATTTTTCCTTTGTATTTCAATTGACCAGAGGATAAATTATCCTGGAAAATTTTACTTAAAGGGATAATATATTCACCAAAACAGCTTTAATCACATACAGGAGACTCCTGCAGGATCAAGCAAGCTATTAACAGAGCAGGAGATGAGAAATTTTAAATTAAACAGAATGTGCAATAAAGGAAGAATAAACATTAGATGACTCTTTACAGGAAGTGTTTAGGAAACCTGTGTTAGTCACATGCAGGCAGGTGTGACCAGGGCTGGATAAACAAAGTCATTCAACCCCTGAATGGCAGAGAATTTAATAGTGAGATTGCAGGTCGATGATGTATACATCAAAACTGCTTCATTAAGCTAAAATTGTATTGGTCAGTATAGTGTCCCTTTATAATATTTCTATTATAAATTAAAAGTTAAATTCCCAAAAGATATGTGATTACATAAGATTTAGACAATGATTATATATGACTACTTTATTAGTTCACAAAAGTGATATTTAATTTACACAACCTTTTTAAAAAAAAAAATGTAAATATTTATATTGCTACACTTTCTTCTTTTTATTGAGGTCAACCAGTTTTCAGTATATTTTACTTGCGCTATGGCTGTTCAAATGTTTCACCTGGGTGCAGGCACTTTATTTGCCAAAAAAATAAACAAATGGTTAATCACAATCACAAATATAATTATATGAAATATATCTCACTTTATCTCAAGAAAAATTTTAACAAACGTTGTTAATGTAATTTAGAGCATTTTTTCACTATTACATTTAAACAAAATTTAAAAAAGCCTTCTACTTAAATATACTACTTATTTTTATTCACAGATTTTTGTGTTTATGAGTATTCAACTTAAACTCAATGGCAGGGTTTAATAACACAAAGTCAATTGAGAATCTAACTCTACTCATTGTAATAGCATACTTTTATTTTTGTAAATAATGGCAGTATTAAACAATCATATGTAGAAAAATAAAAAAAATAAGTAAGCATAAATAAAACGATTAGACTTATTTTAAAAAGGTACACAATATATATATTCAACCAATGAGTATTTTTTTTTAATTAATATACCTCTTTATCTTTGAATTACCCAATTAAAAAATATATTATATTTACAATATAATGTAACGTATAATGCACCTTCCACATGAAAGGTGTTTTAACAAGTGTTCTAATTAGCACAAAATAAATGCAAAAAAAAAAATTCCTGCCAAATATAGATTAGCTGTAATTTTCCTCAATAAAAAAGGAGAGAAAAAAGCTAAAAGCTATTATTCCATTTTAATTGTGTCTTTATTTGCTTGTGTTTTTCAAATAATTTTGCACCTTATGATTTCATAACTTGTTTCCTACAATGCAGGAGTGACGATTTGGTTATATTTAAATACCGTTTAGAACTATTAAAGAACCACTATAGTGCCAGGAAAACATACTCGTTTTCCTGGCACTATAGTGCCCTGAGGCTGCCCCCACCCTCAGGGACCCCCTCCCGCCCGGCTCTGGAAGGGGGAAAGGGGTTAAAACTTACCTTTTCCAGCGCTGGGCGGGGAGCTCTCTGCCTCCTCTCCTCCTCCGATCCGCCCCGTCGGCTGAATGCGCACACGCGGCAAGAGCTGCGCGCGCATTCAGCCGGTAGCATAGGAAAGCATTCATAATGATTTTCACAGTGAGAAGCACGCAAGCGCCTCTAGCGGCTGTCAATGAGACAGCCACTAGAGGCTTTGGGGGAAGGCTTAACCCATTGATAAACATAGCAGTTTCTCTGAAACTGCTATGTTTATAAAACAATGGGTTAACCCTAGAAGGACCTGGCACCCAGACCACTTCATTAAGCTGAAGTGGTCTGGGTGCCTAGAGTGGTCCTTTAATTATGTGTGTGAATTATATATATTCATTATACAGTTTATCTTTTATCAACATTGTCATTGCATTAACCTAGAATCTAATGTGTAATGAAAAATGTAAATTGGGCTTTATAAAACATTAATATAGTGCTTAAACAGTATTAAAAAGAGAGAAGTAGGAGGAAGCATGAGATGTTTTCAATAAACAATAAATACTTCTGATGGGTTTATCAGTTAGTAGCTTATAAAACGTTTATTTGATGTTTATCCAACCAATCTACAAATAATGTAAATGTATAGGTGTCACGGTGAAAATAGCTTTATACGTAACCAATTGACAATCCATAGGTAGTGATGTCGCGAACCGTTCGCGAACTTGCCGCGAACGGTTTGCCGCGGTTCGCCACGAACCGTTCGTGGCGAGCTCCGGTCAGCTGACACATCCCTGCCAATAACCGGCAGACCCTCCCTCCCAGACCCTCCCACCTCCTGGACAGCATCCATGTTGAAGCTGCCTTCAACATGGATGCTGTCCAGGAAGTAGGAGGGTCTGGGAGGGAGGGTCTGCCGGAGATTGGCAGGGATGTGTCAGCTGACTGGAGTTCGCCACGAATGGTTCATGGCGAACCGCGGCAAACCGTTCGCGACAAGTTCGCGAACGGTTCGCGACATCACAATCCATAGGTTTTGAGGTACAAAGACACATCAATGAGTTTATCCTCAAACTTTAATAACAGCTATTCATAGTGGACTCCTTTGGCCTTAAAATGAGAGAGGATAGGCAGACATCTCATTCTCTAACACACACCCAGTTACACACAGAGTGTAGGGATGAGATAGGCAATCTTAGGCTCCAGCGTTTGGTAGGAGATCGTGAACCCACCAGTACATTTTATTTCACAACCTACCCACAGTCACACATAATGCAGGTAAGGTTAGGTAGAAAGATTTCTGAGGATCATTGCTAGATTTTAACTCATGTATTAATTCAATCTTTCATGTAATTATTTATTAAAGGGACATTATAGGCACCTAGACCACTTCAGGTCATCGAAGTTGTCTAGGTGCAGTGTCACTTTTACACTTAGTTCTGCAATGTTAAACATTGCAGTTCCAGAGAAAATGCAATGTTTACATTGCAGCACTAAGCCTACCCCCAGTGGATGTCTACCAGACAGCCACTAGGGGCGTTTCCTGGATTGAAACAGACATGTGGTCCGGTATCTGACACTGGGCGTCCTCACGCTCTGCATGAGGACCTCCAGCATCAGATTTAAGGTAAGTAAATAAAGTGTTTTTAACTATTTATTTACCGAGGAGGGGAGTGCGAAGGAGGGGGAGGGCATAGAGAGAACGATAGTGCCAGGAATACAGCTTTGTATTCCTGACACTACAGTATCACTACTTTTTTTTAGCAATCACCTGCTACTCATTATCTTGGCTGTTGCTACTGTTAGCAAGTAGCAGATGTTTTCCCAACTGCAAAATTTCACAAGTAGCAAAAGGGAGTTACTAGCTGCTGCTAATGAATGGCAGTCACTAAGTACCAATGAATGGCTCCCATTATTCTCCAAGAGAGTCACTAACCACTACTTGGCAACCCTTTTCTACTCTTTACTGGTTGCCGCTAACCCTAAAAAAAAAGTATCACCAGCCTCTGGCTTGGTGTAGAAAGGTGAACAACAAATACATTCCTATACATACTATTGAAAGAAAAAGTCTTGTTCTAAACTTGTCGCTACTTTTTCCAGCCCCACTCCCCCACCTATTTTATGCATGTCACATTTCTTTAACAAAAATATACAACGACATCACAACTGAGATATGAAAAAGAACTGATAGATTCCTTTTTCCTACAAATTAATCATATTTTTCATGATCGTTTGGTATAGGGAGCTGCAACACTGAGAGCCTCTGAATGCTGAATACAGAGACTATACACAGCATTGTGATAACCTGCCCTTAAGTTCAGCTTGTTCCTGTTATATAACATCAATGGTGTTGGTGGATGCAGACCACCCATTCCTTAGGACGTCTGTGAGGCATTTATATTATATGGTGGCATCTATTTCGGCACCTCCTCTTTTAGTCCGCTCCGTGAAAGAAAAGGAGGAGCCAAAAAGTGACTGGACCTGTGAGCTAGAAAATCTGTCGGGTACCTTATTGTCTATTATGGCAACTAAGCTGTACGGGGAAAGTAAAATTTTTCCATCTTACTACCTCCAATATGTATATCTGTGAGTGTTTATGTGTCTCTGTGTATATGTGCCTTTGGATGTATATGTGAATGTGTGCCTGTCTGTGTTGGTGTGTCTGTATGAGTGTGCCTATGACTGTGTGCTTCTGTCAGGTTTTGAGTGTGCCTTTCTATGTGAATATGTCTGTGACTGTGTGTAGGTATGAGTGTATAGGTGTGTGTTTCTGTGTTCATGTATTTTTGAGGCCTAAATTGGGGCCTTCAAATTGTATTTCTAGATTGCTGGTTGCAGAGAATCAAGTAGAAAATAATATATATATATATATACAATTGCCAGTTAAAATAAAGGTAACCTACATATATCTCTTGCTCAATGCTCTGTAAATTCTAAGTGGTCTCTGTATATAGCACTCAGGAATTTGTTAGAGCGATGGAAGGGTGCCTGAGGACAAAGGGGAGGGGGAGACAAAGAGTGGCACAAAGCGTTGTGTGCGTAGCTGTGTGCATGTGGATGTAATGTATGTGTGCGTCTGTTTAATGCAGAAACATGTATATAAAAGGACAATATGAATATATATGGAACAATACGTCTGGGATTACATTAGGCGCAATGTGAAAGGATTATTGGAATATGTAGGAAACATTTTAATTTTACATATTCAAAAACATTGTTTTATTACAATGCTTGTTATGTTTATCTGTAACTTCATTATTTTGTAAATAATTTCTTAATTTTTTTAATTTTTCCCTGTCCAACAAAACAAAATTGTATTTGTTTCCATTAAATAATGTACTATCAAAGCATATTGAAATGAAAAAATCCATTTAAACATTACTTTCCAGAACTCCCTGAATACTCTGATTCTGAAGCTGTTTTTTGCAAACAGTTTGGTAGCGAAGGGTTTAAATAAGTAAAAATGAGTGAAACATGCACACTGACACAATTTCATGGTAATTTTCACTACATATTTCCCCACAAATAATCTAATTAATTACATGATTTGGGGGTGTTTTGTTATTGCCAATTAATGTTCAGCAAATTGATTTTTCTATGTGTTTCATGCTATTCTGAACAATAGTCAAAACAAATTTGCCACAAACGTCAGAAACATGTGCTACATTACACTATATAGCAATGAATGGCTGGCAATATTTACACATATCAGGGAGTCTTCAAAAGTATGTATTTTCATTACCTACTACCTACATCTCTAGGATCTGGGGAGTCTACAAAAATTATTAAGGTACACTCCAGTCTGAAAGTGACCCACATTTTTAAAAGCATGACAGACAGGGTTATTCACCAAAACGAAAATTCATAGTAAATGCTAAGTGAATATCAAATTTAAAGCCAGAGTAGCTGTCTTTAAAGTATAGCTGAATTTTTCCAGTTTAGCTAATTTGGTCTTACTTTTTAAATTCACTTTGAATCGAAGGTTATCTAATAAAATAAAAAGATAATCGCATTTAAAGTTACTGCTTTTTGTGCAAGTCCTCAGACATTACATTAAAAGCCTGGCTCTTCCGACAACAGCACCTAGCTTGGCCATTGAGCAGCCTCGCGTTCTGGTCTATGGAGTCTGAACTGTTTGACATGTTCAACCAGGTGCCACAAGGGTTAAACTGCATATTTAGCACCAACTGTTTAACTCTTCTTGCAGAGATTAGAAATGTGACAGTCACTAGCACAGCCTCAAAAATAAATTTCATCTATGTTGCTTTCTTGCATAAATCCTACACTGCACGTGGGTCTGCACCTTGTGTAAGGAAGCTGCATTTCAGAGTTCTCTGTGCAGATTTCAGAGTTCTTTGTGCACAGCATAGTTCTGCATATTATAGGGATTTCTGGCACTTGTAGTTCAGTTATTAAATTTCTTCATTGCAACATTGTTAGCTGAATTACAACACCCAGAATCCTTGTCTGTGCTTGTTGATGACAGGACTGATAATAATAAGTGTCTTATTGGAGAAACACTAGAGGTCAGATGTTGGATGTGCTTATAAATGTTGATAGACCAGTTTGTAGACTGATTAATGCAAACAGCCCTCCATCCAGAAGTAACTGGAAACTCACATACTTCTGTTTGCCTGTCTGAGCAGTGAACTGGTATTCATTGCTAAAACAGCCTTAAAGGAACGTATAGTGTTAGGAATACCAAGCTGTACTCCTAACACTATAGGAAAAGATTGTCCCCACTCCCTCCCTTGCTCCTCCCTCCCCTCCGGTGATGGAAAGGGTCCAAAAAACATTTTTCACCTACTTGATTCCGGCGCTGGGTTGAGCTCCTTCTCCAACAGATGATGGAGTAACCTAATGCGCATGCACATTAGGCCTTCCCATAGAAAAGCATTGACTCAATGCTTTCTTGTGGGTTTTTTCAACAAATTCCGTGAAACTATAGGAAGTTACTCTCATGGCTGTCTGGTAGTCAGTCACTAGAAGCGATTTTAACATTGCAATGTAAACATTGCAGTTACTCAGAATTAGAGATGTCGCGAACCGTCCACGAACTTCTCACGAACCGTTCGTGGCGAACTCCGGTCAGCTGACACATCCCTGCCAATCTCCAGCAGACCCTCCCTCCCAGACCCTCCTACTTCCTGGACAGCATCCATGTTGAAGGCAGCTTCAACATGGATGCTGTCCAAGTGGTGGGAGGGTCTGGGAGGGAGGGTCTGCTGGAGATTGGCTGGGATGTGTCAGCTGCCCGGAGTTCGCCGCGAACGGTTCGTGGTGAACCGTGGCAAACTGTTCGCGAGAAGTTCGCAGACGGTTCGCGACATCTCCACTCAGAATTGGTTAAGGAAACAGGGACACTGCACCAAGTCCGCTTTAATGAGATGCAGTGGTCCGGGTGCCTTAATACTTGGAATTTTCTGGGGTGAAAAGGTGATATAAGCACCGTGACAGGTAATTATATATTCTTAAACTATTCATCATAGAGAAATTAAGAAAAAAATAAACCCATAGTATATTCATCCCATAGGATACACTCAGGGACTCAGGTGATATCAACCATTAAAGGATCGGAGGGCCAGTCACACAGTGAAGCAGGACTCAGTCTAATGCAATGGGACATGGCATGTTACAAGGACATATAAAAGGACATCAGCAGGGAGACGGAAACAGTGGTTTGTAATTCTGAATAAAAGATGGCCATAGAACAGGAACAACAAAACAAAAAAGTACTGAACATCAAAGCAGAGGGAGAGCAGATTCTGTCTGCGCTATCAGCATATGAACCAATACACTACAAACAAGAAAAGGGATAACAAATCATGACAGGAAATTGAATCCATCAAAATATAATAAAAGGGAACAAGAATAGTGGGGGCATATTTATGTGTTAAAATATTTGAAAATAACTGTATGCTGGTTGGCAAATTGTGTTCAGAATTT